ACGGACAGACGGACAGACGGACAGACAGACGGACAGGGCCAAATCAACTCAGCTCGTCACCCTGATCAAGAATATATATACTTTGTGGGGTCTGCCACGCCTCCTTCTCCCTGTTACATACATTTCAACAAAACCATTATACCCTGATTTCCCATTGAAAATGGGTTCAGGGTATAAAAAAACACAAAATTCAACACGTATTAACCGTAAGTCAATATATTTTTATTATTACATAAAAATTTTTATGTGTAAACAAGATGTAATTGAGTACAATATAAGTAGAAGATAAAATGATATGAGATAATATTAAATTGAAATTGAAATTTATTTAGTTATAGAGCATTAGCAACTATTAAGTTATGGAGCTTTATATATTGAGTCTACCACTTAGATAATTATTTAGTAATAGAACTTTTAGTATTAGCACTAACTTTTCTTATTGGTATATTGCATTTGCCAAAATTTAGAGCAACACTTACAGAGTTCTATCCGATTTAGTTCAAATTATCATATACAATTTTTCTTAGAGGTAAAACCCTAAACATATATCAAATCAGTCTTCGTTTGGAGCAATTTGCTTTCAAGTAAAGCTTTCATTTAATTTCGTTTCATTAGCCATTTGTTATCATTAGTAATGCTCATATCGAAATTTCCGACATGTCTAATTTATTCACTTTACAATTGCATTAGCTCAGCATTAGCATCAGCATCAGCAATGCGCATGTGCGACCCTCTGTCTATAAGGAAGAGGATCTATTGTTCCCCTGCTCCCCTTGCTCCCTTCCCATGTCAATGAATGTGTCAGCGATATGTGTGTGCGTGTGTGAGTGTGCGTGCTGAGCTGAGCTGGGTTAAGTGAGGCTCTCCGCACTTGAATTTCATTTAGTGGTTCATTCTACACGAGTATTAGTCCCTCATGCTCTTGCCTTAAAAGTCTGTTACGAATGTCACTTGAATGTTGCACTCGTGCATTTCATGCGTCGCATTTTCAAATTGGGTCCCTTTTGGAATGGTCGGTGGTTTGTTGTTTTTTTCGTTTAAATACCCTGCATTCAGTGCCAGTGTGTAAATGGGGTATATGGTTTTGATCCAATGGCATAGGCAATTATATTTCGAAACTAACATCCGAGCTCGTTTGGTCCGTCTCTGAATGTCGAATGCATATACCCTTCCATCTGACAATGTATATAAGGTAAAGGCTCATCTCTCATTTCAAATAATCATTAAAATTATTTTACGCCGTTTACTTTAGGTATATCCAAGTCGAGCACTCCCCAATAAGAGCGCTCTCACTTGTTCTTTCGTTGGTGACAATTAGCTCAGAGTATGAGTGCATGTGTGTGTGTGTGTGTGTGTGGGTGATCATACATTTCCCACAATTGAACCGGAAAACAAAGGCTACGTACGCTGCAGCCCAGAAACGCGTGGAAACTCTCCCCCGTTTCAGTGGAAAACCCAAACAAGTGCCGAGTGGGTAATATAAATATTCGTATTGCCTGCTCGGATTTGAAAGGGCCCAGGCATGGGCTTTTCGTTCTGGGAACTGTGCGGCTAATCGATATGAATTGGCCCTCCACTCGTTCGACTTTTCATCAATTTGTGTATTACTTTTGTTCTATTTGCGTACTTCCGTCTGCAGCTTATTTTTGGCTTCCATCTATCCCTGTCTCTCTTTCTATCTCTCTCTCTCTACCCCTTTTACCCCCTTTCTTCTTTAGTTCGATAAACAAATCGATTCCAAAACATGTTCGAACTGCAATTGCAGCTGACCCACAAATTCTACGCGCAAATCTCTTTGGACAATTCGCTCCTCGTCTCTGGGGCGTCGCAGTGGCGCCCAACGCGTTGGCCCATATTCGTGAGGAAATCGTCACTCGGTGGGGGCCACGGTCACCGGCTGTTCGGCATATTGGCGACCCGACAACATGCCATCAACGATATGCACACAAAGAGATATATATAGTATATACTCGTATATACATGCATATATCCTCAGGCATATCATGACACAGCGCCACAATTTCTCACGGTTCCCGCACTGCAATTTGCCAAAGTTCGTGCGGGGATCTCGACGATCCGAGATCCGAGATTTCCCCAACATCTGACAACTTGTCAGCAGCGGTAATAATGAGTTGCGTTTAGGGTGCCCCAACCAGGGGCCTATTACATACGATATGATGAAGCTAAAATGCAGAAATTCGAAATTCCTTGATATATAAGTTAACTTATATATAATACTAAATATTTTAAATTAAATTTTTTTAGAGTTAAATATCCTCTAATATCCAATTTGTTAGCCTAGTTATCAGCACCCTCTCCAAACTCCAGCCCCAACTTGAGCTCAGGCAACTCAGTGCGAGAGATCGTCGCATGAAGAGAATAAAAATGAAAATTGCTTGAACACATGTTATCAGATGGAGCCTTGACTGGCCACCCACTTGCCGCAGCCA